CGCGCCGCTCCGCCGAGGCTGCGCCCCACGGGGCTGGCCGGGCCTGCGGTCTCCCTCTCCCTGTGTGGACTCCGGGGCCTGGAAGTTCCCCCTCGATCTGCCCACCTCCCGCCTGGGCCTTGCCCCCCCCAGGGCCGGGGGGCAGAGGTGGAAAAGCCAGTGGAGGGTGGGTCAGTCAGTCAGCCGGTGCCAGGCTCCAGGTTGGAGGTCTGGGCAGGGCGGGGGCAGAGGCGGTGGCAGACAGATGGCCGCTGGACACTGGCCCCAGGCCTGGGACTGCACCCCCGCCCCTGGGCCCAGTCTCAGCGAGGACTTTGAACCCACGGGAGAGGCCGAAGGCAAGGCAGGAGTGGAGGGAGGACGGTCTTGGCTCCAAGCCCGGGCTCTCCCGAGCAGGGGCTGCTCGGGTAAGGTGGGATCAGGAGGCACCCTAGTGGGGTCGACGGGCAGCGATGGAGACCCTGAGAAAGAGAGAAAGCACATGCCCAGGCAGCCCACTCCCAAAGACGGCCATACCCACACGAGGGCCACTCCAGGGCTGCAGGGATCTGGGGCAAAGACCTGTGGGGACCCTGGCAGGCACATTTCGGGAAGAGCCAGGAGCCACCGTGGCTTGTCTCCCTTGATGGAGAGGGTGTGACCAGGTCCTACCTGCTCAGAGGTTCCCGCCTGGGCACCTGTGCAGGCCGGTGTCCACACTGCCCCCAACTCAGACCTCCCTCCTCCAGGCGACCAGAGGTCAGCAGCTTCCCAGAAGCCCCGAAGCCGGGGCATCCTCCATTCCCTCTTCTGCTGCGTCTGCCGGGACGATGGGGAGGCCCTGCCGGCCCATAGTGGGGCGCCCCTGCTTGTGGAGGAGAACGGCGCCATCCCCAAGGTGCGTGGGAGCCGGGCAGGGGCTGGCCGCTGGGGTCCGTCTGGAGGGGGCTCAGCGAAATAGACTTCCAGCGGAGCTTTTCATGACTTACCTGCAGACCCTGGAAGGTTCTGAGAAGGAGGCGGGTGGCCGCCTCTGCCAGGCTCTATACTCCCCCGCTAGGCCCTCCCTGTTCATTCTATCTGCCCCAAGACTGCTGCCCAACTGAGGGAATCCTGAATTTTCCCCTCATCGCAGGAAGCCTTTCCTGCCTTGGCTTTCCAGGTGGGGAGGTGAGGCCCAGAGGGCCAGGTGGCCTGCCCCAGGGCCCAGAGCTGGCAGGGGCTAAGCTGGGAGTGGGGTGGCGTCGCCGCCCGGTCCCCAGGGCTCCTCAGGCGGAGGTCTCCATAGAGGGGCTTCAGCCAGCCCCGCTCCTCCCACAGCAGACCCCAGTCCAGTACCTGCTCCCCGAGGCCAAGGCCCAGGATTCGGACAAGATCTGTGTGGTCATCGACCTGGACGAGACCCTGGTACACAGCTCCTTCAAGGTGGGCCCTGCCCAGCAGCCTCAGCCTGGGTCTCTCCGGGGGCCCGCCCTGGCTTGGGAGGGCGGTCGGGGCTGGGCCCCGCCTCCGGGGTTCCCCCCCAACTCCAGCAGCTCTTTTCCCCCCACAGCCAGTGAACAACGCCGACTTCATCATCCCCGTGGAGATCGATGGGGTGGTCCACCAGGTGAGGGCGGGCGGAGGCGGCGATGGCCTTGGCATCTGCCTTCCGGACCCCAGGTTCTTCCCACCCATCCGGAGAGCCCCAGAGGGAAATTCGTTAGATATGGAGTGTCAGAGACCCAGATGGGGTGTGAGACTTACCCAGGGCCACATAGAACCTCAGGGACTTGGCCCGATTCCAGGCCTGCGGAGAGTGGGTTTCTCCTCTGGGCCGCCCTTGCTGGGCCTCCTCGCCCCACCCTGCCCGGGACCCAGTTCAAGTAATTCAGGATAGGTTGTGTGCTGTCCAGCCTGTTCTCCATTACTTGGCTCGGGGACCGGTGCCCTGCAGCCTTGGGGTGAGGGGGCTGCCCTGGGCTCCGGCATCTGGTTGAGGCTGAGGTTGGGGGCGGGACTGGGAATTAGTGACTCCCCGTGAGGTAGAACCTGAAGCTTGCTGGAGTCCAAGTTCATTGTGATCCTTCTCTGGGAGGGGGGGTGGTTTCCCCAGCAGCGGTGGGGCAGCAGGCCTAGTGGAGCCTGCAGACCCAGCCGCCTCCCGTGCTCTGCCTCCTCCACCCGTGCCCTCCCAGCCCTCAGCCACCCCACCCCGCTGGGCCTGTGGCCGGCAGTCCCCTCACTGGCCTGCCCCCCAGGTCTACGTGCTGAAGCGGCCTCACGTGGACGAGTTCCTGCAGCGAATGGGCGAGCTCTTCGAGTGTGTGCTGTTCACCGCCAGCCTAGCCAAGGTGAGCCCCCAGCGGGTGAGCCCCCCGAGGCGACCCTGCCCTCCTGTCCACCTCCAGCATGCAGCCCAGTGGACCTCCAGCCACCCTCGGCCTCAGGATGACCCACCTCCCGTCCCCAGTATGCAGACCCAGTAGCTGACCTGCTGGACAAGTGGGGAGCCTTCCGGGCCCGGCTGTTCCGAGAGTCTTGTGTCTTCCACCGGGGCAACTACGTGAAGGACCTGAGCCGGCTGGGCCGAGACCTTCGGCGGGTGCTCATCCTGGACAACTCACCCGCCTCCTACGTCTTCCACCCGGACAACGCCGTGAGTGGGGGCCGGGCCGTTACAGGGGCTGAGGCGTAAGAACCAGGTCTGTCCAGTCAGGCCGCCTTGGCCTCCCCGGTCCCCAGTTGGGCGGTGTCTGAGGGCTGGTACCCTGCCTGGTTCTTCTTTCTGTGCCCCCTCCCCTTTTCTACTCGTCACTGCTGCCATTCTTTCCATTCTCCTTGTGCACAGCAGAGCGCCTGCTGCGTACAGGAGTCCATGCTGGGCAACAAAGCAGTTTCGGCATTTCAGACGGCCAGTTGTAACCTAATAGCCCACAGAGAGTTTTGTGGGTCCTGACTGGGATTTTTTAGCAAAATGAAATAGAATATAAAATATTAGAGTGTTTTGTACATAATGTTAAGAATTGTTAGCCGGGCTCGGTGGCTCAGCCTGTAATCCCGCGCCTTTGGGAGGCTGAG